TCACAAGAAAGAGAATGTGTATTTACAGTACTGTATTGTATTTACTGAAAAAAATCCACATATAAGGGAACCCACTCAGTTCAAGCCATGTTGTTCAAGAGTCAACTATATGTGTACTATATGTGAAGTGATATAATATCGCTTCAAGTCAGAATGTGAAAAGTTAAAGATAGAAACTATGAACCCTAAAGCAACCACTAAAATAACCCAATAAGACACAGCTAACATATCAATATAGCTAAGGGAACAAATGGAATCATAATAAATATTCAGTTAATATAAAAGAAGGCAGTAAAATAGGGAAGTAAGAAAAAAGAACATGTGTGTTGGATAGAAAATAATAGGAAGGTCGCAGACCTCATCCCAATCAAATCAATAACATATGTACATCAAAGGCAGAGCATTCAGATTGGAGAAAAATGCAAGAGCCAATTATGTGCTGCCTGTAAGAAACCACCGTAAATATAAAGAAACAAACAGATGAAAAGGAGAAGTATGGAAGGAGGTATGCCATGCTGAACTAATGGAAAACTGGAGTGCACAACTAATACTGAATAAAGTAGATTTCAGGGAAAAGAATATTACCAGGAATAAAGAGGGTCATTTCCTAATGATAAAGTGGGCAATTCATCAAAATGATAAACAATCCTAAATGTTTATGTACCTAATAGTGGAGCTTCAGAACACAGGAAGCAGATAATGATAGAACCGAAAGGAGAAACAGACAAGTCCACAGTTACACTCTGATATTTCAACAGTTTTCTTTCAATTATGAATAGAACCTGTAGACAGAAAATCAGTAAGGATATAGGATACTTGAACTATGCCATCGGCCAACTTGACCCATGGCATTTATAGAATGCTTCACACAGATACAGCAGAACAGACACTTTTCTTAAGTATGTATGAATCATTTACCAAGACAGACCTTGTTGTGACTCATAAAACATATCTCAATAAATTTAAAAGGATTCAAGTCATCCAAAATATGTTCTCTAACCACAATGGAATTAAATTAGAAATAAAATCAGAACCGTCTCTACAAAGTCCCAGATATCTGCAAACACAATTAGAAATAATCATGAGTAAAGAAAAAATCATAAAAGGAAATGTGAAAACAGTTTGAATCCAATGAAGATGAAACCCAATATATCAAAATTTGTGGACTATAGCTAAAGGAGCGAATAAAGGGAAATTTATTTCTAAAATGTGTACTGAACACGCACATTAGAAAAGAAGAAAGATTTCAAACTAATGATATCAGCTAGTTAAACCCAGTATAAGCAGAATAAAAGAAATCATAAAGATCAGAGTAGAAATGAGTTGCATGTTACTCTGCAAAAACAAAAGAAATTCAAGCCACACCTCACACTGTGTACAAAAATTAACTGAAATGGATCACAGATTTAAATATAAAGCCTATAACTTTAAATCTTTTATTATATATACACACACACACACACACACATATATATATTTTATTTATGAGAGAGAGAGTGAGAGCAAGAGAGATCACAGAGGGAGAGGGACAAGCAGACTCGCCACTGAGCAGGGAGCCTGACGTGGGACTCAATCCCAGGACCCAGAGATCATGACCTGAGCCAAAGGCAAATGCTTAACTGCCTGAGCCACCCAGGTGCCCCAACTTTAAATCTTCTAGAAAGAAATGTAGAAGAAAATCTTTGTGATCTAGGGTGATACAAAGATTTTTTCGATAATCTCAAAAACATGGTCTATAAAAGAAAAAAAATATGAATTGGACTTCAGGAAAGTTAAGAATGTGTACTCTTCAAAAGCACTGCTAGGAGAAGGCAAAACAAGCCACAGATTGTGGGGGGGGAGATTGCAAGTCACGTAGCTGAAAAAAATTGTATCCAAAACACATAAAAACTCTCAAAATTCAATAAGATGGAAAAAAGCCCAATTAAAAATGGCAAAATATTTGAATAGGTATATATTTTTAAGAGACTAGGAGGGGAGGGGCTTTTGAGGGAGAGGGGGAGAGAGAATCCTCAGCAGGATCCATGCCTAGTGCAGAGCCCGATGCAGGGCTCGATCTCACAACCCTGAGCTCATGACCTGAGCTGAAATCAAGCCGGACGCTTGAGCGACTGAGCCACCCAGGAGCCCCTTGAATAGATATTTTATCAAAGAAGATATACAGATGTCAAATAAACATAAAAAGATGTTCAACATCATAACATCATTAGTTATTAGGAAAATGCTAGTTAAAACCCCAGATACCACTTCATACCTATTACAATGTCTTTAATTAAAAAGACCGACCATACCAAATATTGGCAAAAATGTGGAGGAACTAGATCTCTCACACACTACTGTTGGGGATATAAAATGGTACAACCATCTTGGAAAACAGTTTGGAAAACCTTTTAACATTTTTAAAAGGTTAAACAAATAACTACCATATGACTCAGGCATTCCTCCCCTAGATATTTACCAAGAGAAACGAAAGCAGATGTCCATATCAAGACCTGTACAAACATGCAGAGCAGCTTTATTTACAATAAACAAAGCCTTGGGGTAGAAGCCCAAAGGTGCATTGATGGGTCAATGGATAAACTGTGGTATCAGCAACTGAAATTTTATTCACCAATAAAAAGGAATGGACTATTCAAAGTAATCATGTTGAATAAAAGCAGCCAGGGAAAAGTAGAGTACATACTACATGATTCCATTTATAGAAAATTTTAGAAAATGTAAACTAATCTAGAGAGATAGAATGGAGGGGGTGTTGGGGAGTGCAAAGGGGTAGGAGGGTAGAATTACATAGGGGCACCAGGATACCTTCCGGGATGACAGATATGTTTGCTATCTGGATTGTGGTGATGGTCTCTCATGTGTATACATGTCAATTGTATGCTTTACAAATGTGTGGTTTCGTATTTATTAATTATACCACAAGAAAGATGCTTTAAAACGGTAACACTGCAAACTTCCTCTTGTTTCCGTATTTACTTGGTATAAATATTTCCTTTCATGTTCAACCTTTTAGTATTCTTGTTATCTTAGGTGTGTACTTTGTAAGCAGTCTAAAGCTAGACTTCACAGTGTATAACATGCATTTAATAAATACTTTTGACTGTTCAATAAGTGAATCCAGACTGGTAATCTAAATCTTTGATTTAATCTAGAGAATTTAGTTCATGTACATTCATTATGACATCTCTAAACTCATTTCTAAGATCTTATTCTATTCTTTCTTTTAATTTTTATTTTTAAAAAATTTTTATTTATTTTTTAAATAAAGACAGAGAGACAGAGGGAGAGGGAACACAAGCAGGGGGAGTGGGAGAGGGAGAAGCAGGCTTCCTGCGGAGCAGGGAGCCTGATGCGGGGCTCGATCCCAGGACCCTGAGATCATGACCTGAGCCGAAGGCAGACGCTTAATGACTGAGCCACCCAGGCGCCCCTATTCTATTCTTTCAATTTCTCCCCTCTCCCTCCCTCCCTCCCTCCCTCCCTTCCTTTTATCCTTCTCTCTTTTTTTCTTTTTCCTTTCTCCCCTTTTTGCCTTCACTTTCATTGACTGAAATATTTTTTTACCCCTTATCCCAACCTTTTCCCCTCTACTGCTTCAAAACTATATGCTCTATTTTACTGATTATCCTAGAAATTTTAACACATATAGTTTGACTTCACAAAGTCTAAAATTACACAATATCTTTACTCTCTTCCCCCGGAGTAGAAGGCCCTTAACTCATGGTGGCTTATTTCCTTGAGTGTGTAATGATGTTACATTTTATTCTGCTTTGTGCACACAAGTGCTATTGCATGATAACTGAATTTTCAGACCACAGAGGTAGCATGTTTTCTGGCTCTTAAATTGAGGCAGGGCGGTTTGGGGGTGAGGAATCCCTACAGGAGAACGTGTCTCCCTTCCCGATCTTCTCTCACAGCCAAAGATGAAAGAGGCTAGCCTCATCCTATGGGGTGAGTTTTCTTTTTCTTCCTAATTCATCCAGTGAGCGTGTGGCCCTTTGGAAATTCCAGATTTATACAGGGTCCCCCCCTCTGACCTCCCACCCTATTTAGGTACGCAGTTTTGTCTCCTGACCCTCTCACATGTGGCTCGGGCTTCTTTTCTGTACATTTTCAATTAACCAGAAATACTAATAAGTTCTCTATTCTCCAAGCTTTCTGGTTAACAGAGGTAGTGACTAAGAATGCAGTTGTAGGGTTCAGAGTGGCTGGGATCAAACTGAGACTCTACTACTTATTTCCTGTGACTTGACTAATGAAAATCTCTGTACCTCAATTTCTTCACATGTAAAGGGAGAGGCAATAATGGTGCCTGTCTCAGTCCTTGCAGGCATTAAATAAATTAATACATTTAAAGAGCTTACAACAGTACCCGGTATCCTGGGATACAGTAAGGACTCAAACAGTAGCTGCTATTATTGCCACAATTTTCGTGCTTAAAGAAAATGTTCTGAGGTTATATTGTATTCTGTTCTACAAAGGGAGAACAGAATGCAATATTCTGTTCATGCCTTACAATATGAATTTTCAAGTTATAAACGATTTTCAACTCTCAAATGATGTAACCTAGTTTATTCATATCTGAAGATAAATGCTTTCCTCATTGACAAGATCACAAGTATTTGATACCTGTTGCTTTTCTATTTTTCTTCTTTTTAGAAAATATTATTATCTCTGGAGGTTAGATCTTCAAAGTCTGTTTTTCAATTATAAATTATTTCTACATGCTGTAGGAATAGCAGATACTCCTACACAGAGAAGATTCTACCACTTAAAAGTAGTACGGTAACATTTCATATTTTTTTTTTTTAACATAAAATGATGCCAACAGCTGGTTCATTTCATCTCGAGTCAGGACACATCAGTGTATGTACTTCAAGCTCTGGAACGTATCACACATATCACGTGGGCTGGCCCTGCTCCATTAATGACATGTGAACCAAATAAATTACAAGTCCAAGCCTTCTCCCCAAATGACACCGATCACATTTCTTAAATACCTGGTGAATGAAGCTTGGTGGCTGAAGCCACGGTTCTCTTAGGAGATGAAACAGCAGGTTTATTAGCATCTTGATCTTTCTGTACTTCTTTCTTTGATCCTAGACAGAGTTTAAAAAGAGAAAAAAGAAGGAAAGAGAGCTAGTTATAATTGAAACAGTAACACAAGTTGTTTGTGGAAAGGGAGGCTTCACAAAAGGCAAAGGGAACAAAATAACATTTGGGTGATTTGTTGCTACGGTCACCACCCCATGTGCTTCAGGGAGGACACACTCATTTAGGGCAAAGGGAATTTCATTGTAGCGTTCAGGGGAATCAGCACACTGCTGCCTCTGATTTGATGAAAAACACCCCTGTCTCTGGAGGTCACTGCACCCGAATGCCTCTGACAAACTATCTGGGAATGAAAGTTGTACTGTCCTCAGCCACCAACTCAGCCTGCCCTCCTCTTCCTGCCCCAACATTTTTTCAGAAGACAGAGATGGAAGCTGGAGCCGAACACAGCTGCTAATGACTTCGGCATCCCTGAGACCCGAGCCACAGGGGACGTGGTCTGCCTCTAATGAATTTCCATGCAGCTGGGCCACAGAGGTGACCTGGAGAGCCTCTGAGCTCTCTCCGCTGCAGTTGGGCCTTCTTCGTGGGACCTGCTGGCAGAGCTGGCTGCAGCAGAAGGGGATAACCTGAGTGCAAGCAATAACTAAGAACAGTACGGGGCTGCTCCGGAAATTATGTCCGGGCGCAGAGTGCCGTTTCCCCATGAATGCTGGCCACAGACACTCACCTTTACATCACCTTCGTCGGAAAAGCCCAGGACCACGGATGGAGGAGTAGAGAAATACCGCAGACCTGGACGTACCCAGACCCACCCCCATTTCAGCACAATTTATTAGGTCATTTTAACAGTAAAGCTTGGGAATGGTTCCTGAGATACGGAACCCGTCCCAGTTCCCATTCCCCAAAGCCTGCGACCTCACTCTTCTTCCAGAGCTAACTACTGGTGGCGATTTGCTGGTTATTCTTCCAGACCTCTTTCTAGGTACTTATAAGTATTACCTACACATATACAAACACAGCGCTTGGTTAGCTAAATATATCACATATTGCAATTTCTTTTTACCTACCCACATCTTTAAAGATCTTTTTCCTATCAGTGTATTTATAGATCTTTTTTTTTTTTTAAGATTTTATTTATGTATTTGACAGAGAGAGACAGCGAGAGAGGGAACACAAGCAGGGGGAGTGGGAGAGGGAGAAGCAGGCTTCCCGCGGAGCAGGGAGCCGGATGCGGGGCTCGATCCCAGGACCCTGAGAGCATGACCCGAGCTGAAGGCAGACGCTTAACGACTGAGCCACCCAGGTGCCCCGTATTTATAGATCTTTTAAAAAATGCCACATGTGAATAGGCAATAAGTGTGCCATAATTCATTTCCCTATCCTCCTATTGATGAACATTTAGATTGTTTGCAAGTTTTAGCTATTAAAATAGCAACACGTGCTGCAATACACATTCTTCTACTGGTTTCTTTGCACATAGGGACGAGTATCTTTTCAGGAAAAATACATAGAAGTGCTTTTGTTGGATTAAGAGTCTGCTCCTTTGCTGGATTGCTAGACATAGTCCAACTGTCTTCCACAAGGAGCTACGAATTTACACTCCCAGCCAACAGTGCATGAGGGTAACTCTTTTTGCGTGCCCCATACCCTACTGACATGGAAGTCTCAATCATTTTAATTTTTGCCAGACACTTAGAGTCTTTTCCTATTGGTCATGTGCATTTCTTTGTTTGAAAATAGCCTAATTAAATCCTCTGCCTATTTTTCTTCCTGATGTATTAAGAACTCTTCATTTATTCTGGATATTAATCTTTTCTTTGCCTGCTATATAAGTTATATCTTCCAGCCTTTCACTTTTTAAAATTTATTTATAGTATATTTCATGCACTGTGATTTTAAATTTTAATATGTTCAAATATATCAATTTTCCCCTTTATATAAAAACACCATTATAGATGATTTATATGTACGTGTGCATGCATGTGTATGCGTGCGTGTGTATATATGATGGTGGGGAGAGATTATTCCAGGAGTTTGGAGAGAGAGACAGGTATTTGGATCCAACCTCCCCATCTTTCATTCTTTTCTGGCCTGACTGGGTTCCCACTTCCCCCTCACCACTGGACCTGCCTCACTACCTCTCCATCCTTGCTCACCGGCCTTCTGCTCGTCCCCTGTCACCATCTCCCTGCTGAGCAGGGAGCCCGATGTAGGGCTCGATCCCAGGACTCTGGGATCATGACCTGAGCCGCAGGCAGATGCTTAACTGACTGAGCCACCCAGGCACCCTTTCTCTTTTGTATTTCTCCCCCGTTGCTTTTTTTCTTCCTATTTTCAATATGCTTCATGGCATTTAGTTTAACACACCCTCAGTCTTTCACATCTTGGTAGTGGCACCATCATTCACTCACTGTGCTCAGGCCCCAACACTAGGAGTCATCTTGGTTTGTGTCTTTGCTCCCTGCCCCCATTTGACCCATTAGCAAGGCTTGTTGGTTCTCCTCTGAGTACATCCCAGGGCTGACCACTTCCCTCCCCTCTGCTGCTCCTGTAGAACCCAACGCCACCACTTCCTCGTCCTCCCCACTAGAGCCTCCTACCTGATCTCCTGTTCCCACTCCTGCTCCTTTCCAGCTTATTCTCCCACAGTAGCAGATGAATTGCTTCAAATCTAAGTTAGAGCAAGTGATTCTCAACCTCGAAACCCTCTGAGCACCTTCCAAGATACTCAGAATGAACTGTTAACTCCTTGTCACCTCTATGAGGCCCTATAGACCAGCTCTAGCCAACAGAAATACAATATGAGCCACTTGTGTTATTTAAAATTTCCTTGTAACAACATTTAAAAAGTAAAAAGCGTAGTGAAACTAATTGTAATAACATTTTTGATTTCACCCAACATATTCAGTGTCACTCCAACATCTGGCACTGGCTACATTTTGAGTTCTCAATAATGGCTCACGAGCCCCCGGCCACCATACTGAGCAGCGCAGCCCCAGATGATCTGGTCTCCTGCCTACTTCATAGACACACTGTGGTAGCTAACTTTATGTGTCCACTGGACTGGGCCACGGGGTGCCCAGACGTTTGGTCAAACATTTTTCTGGGTGTTCCTAGATGAGATTAAATTTAAATTGGTAGACAATTTAAATTTGGGGAAAGCAGACTGCCCTCCCCAATGGGAGTAGGCATCCTACAATCTGCTGAAGGTGTGGGCAGAACAAAAGGCTGACCAAGAAGGAATGTCAGTCTTCTGCCCTCAGACTGGAACGTACACCATCAGCTGTCTCTGGGTCTCTGGCTTGCCGACTGCAGACCTGGAGACTTCTCAGCTTCCACAAACATGTGAGCCCATGCCTCATAAGAAATCTCTTTATATATATAAAGTATTTACTTATAACAACAGATTTTATATTATATAATATATACATTATATATATAATATATATATTCTATATCTTCTGTCTCTATATAAAATGTATTACATGCACATGTATGTATATCCTATTGGTTCTGTTTCTCTGGAGAACTCTAACACACACGTGGCATCACTCCGCCCCTGCTCACGCACTCCAGCCATGCTGAAGCCACGCCTCCTCCCATTCTCCATTCAACTCCATTTAGCAGGAGTTCCTTCTGCACAGAACATGTTTCCCCGAGACCTTGAGCATGGTTCACCCATCCATTCATTCAGGTCTCTGCACAAATGATAATCTTCAGAGAGGCCGTGCCTGACACCACAGGTGAAACAGCCCTCCTGCCCCCTGCCACTCTCCCCTTCACTTACTTCATTCCTCTTCATAGTGTGTATCGTACCCCAAATACGTGATACCCTCCTCTGTTTGTTTATTGTCTGCCTTCCCCACTAGATCCTAAGCGTCAACCATAGGGCCACATCCATCCTGGCCCAGTGTGGTCATTCAGTCAATTCCGTCTCTTGTCTCCTCCTTCCCGCCGGGCTTCTTTCAAGATGTCCTGCTCAGGTACTTCAGGGCTTACAGAAGGCTGGAACCTGGGGTCCTGAAAGCCACCACTTCACTCCACCGAAGCCAGACCCACCCTGCAGAGAACCCAATCTATGGCTCACTTCATTCTTCTCATCCCTCCTTCTGCTCAGATTTTAGCTATCAACAAATACAAAAAGGTACTGGGACTCATGGGAGCTGAAATGTTAAAAGCCAAAAGTCTGCATTAAACATATTATTTTAGAAGAAAATTAAACATGAATATTTATTCAGTGTCTCAATATTTTTCATTCAGACTTCGTGGAGTATGATTTGCCTGCTTCTATCAAAAATTTAAATATCGATATACCTGACCTAGCAGTCCTGCTCCTACAGATCTCTCTTTGGAACCTCTGAGTGTTACCTTCCATGGCCATAGGGGTTTTGCAGCTGTGCTTAAGGGAAAAGATTATGTGCAAAGAAACTTCATACATTATTCACAATAATAAAGGAGAGTAAATCATCAAAATGCACACTGGGAAATGGTTAAATAAATTGTGGTATATCCATACCATGTACTTTTATGCAGCCATTAAAAAGAATGAAGTAGCTCTATATTGTACCAGCACGGAAGTTGTCCATGATAAATAAAAGAGCTAGTTGTTGAACTCTATGCATGGTATTATCCCATTTTTATAACACAAAATGTTATCTGTATTATACTTTAAACTATATAAGAAGTTTTGAAAGAAAGGCACCAAGTTGTTAATAATGGTTACCTCTGAGCAGCAGGATTGAGGGGATATTACTTTTTATTTTACTACGCTTCTGCATTATTTTCATTTTTTATGATGACCACATATTACTTTTATAGTAAGAAATAAACAATAAAAGGAGTGAAACCAAAACCAAAATGAAAATAATTTGTCTGATCCATGAAAGGATGAGGAGAGAAACCAGCCTAGTGCACCCAATTCTACAACTCTGATGGAAGGTTTCACAGTCCCTCCCATAGGAACACAGCGCTGCCTAGAAACTCCTGTGTGGTTCTGGGAATTCTTGATGGCACAGAAAATTACAGCAATTAGTGAAGGCTTTCA